AATTGTCTCTTCAGTATTTTATTATTTGAGACAGGGAGGAAACAAAGAGACTAAGAGAAGGCCTTTGTTGTGGCCTTAAAAGTAATAGACCCTAAATCTTTTATTGGGGCTTTAAGGAGAGCTCAGGGACTAAATTCACCTGCTACTGCTACTGAAAACTAGGCCACATTAAGAGGGATGGTGATAAGAGCTGTCATGACTAACATACCCTCTTGCCACAGCTCCATTTTAAAGCTGACCAGTGGGATTTGGACTTCCCCTGAGGTGAAGGCCTCAGACACATCTTACCAGTTAGTCCAGCAAGACTGAAGTGTCCTGGGACACTCTCTGCCTCTCCCTCTTGCCAGACTGTCACCTCCATCAAGGAGTCCTAGGTAATCATGACTATGGAGGGAAAAGAAACTACCCTCCTACTAGACAGTGCAACCTGTATCTTGGACCTGCTTTTCAACCCTGCTGTCATATTTCAATGAAAGGAGTCACTGAAGTGGAAGTAACTTGCTATTTCTCACAACCTCTAGCCTGTAAATGAGATGGCTCTCTCTCCACCCGTTCCTTTTTTAGTACGCCTGAAAGTTCAGTTCCCCTTCTAAAGAGCGATATTTTGTCTTATTTGAATGCCATAATCTACATGCACTGCCTCCCCCTTGTGAAAACAGAAATAAATCCTGAAGTATAGGTGACTAAAGGTAGATTAGCAAGACCAATAATAGCTGCCCTGGTACAAATATATCTCTAAGGCTCTACTATTTTTCCCCACCAGAGTAAAATACTATCGGAGGCCTGAAATTTAAAAGGAATTATTGCTTGTAATTGACAGCAAAAGGGCATTTACTTAAAGTCCTCAATAGCTCATGCGACACCCCATTCATGCAAGTTCAAAACCCCAATGGCGAATGGAGGTCAGAGCCCAGTTTAGTAAACGTTGCCAATCCACCCCATGGTGCCCGACCCATATAATTTCCTTTCTCAGGTCCCAGAAGGTGACACTTGATTTTCAGTGTTCTTTTGAAATTCTCTACATACAGATTCCCATTTTCTTTTTGCCTTTGAAAATCCTCTTGGCCAGGCCTGTCAACTGACTTGGACTGTGGTGCCTCAAGGGTTCAGAGACAGCCTTCATCTTTTTGGACCCACGCTTTTCCGTGAATTTTATGCAGCCGTGGTCTCACCATATGTAGATAATATACAGTCATGTGCTCCCTCAGAAGAGCTCTCTAGACAGAACACTCATGCTCTGCTGAATTTACTAGTAGACAGAGATTATCAGATCTCTAGCTCTAAGGCACAACTTGTCAGCCTTGAGGAAAAATACTTGGGCCTTATCATATCTCAGGGAACTCAACAGTTGCGAAAGAAGAGAATTAGAACAATACTTTCCTTCCCACGTAAATTTAGGACATTAAATTGCATCATTAATAAATCATGTCTACGAGTAATCCCCGGT